CTTTTACCCATATCAGATGGTTCTTGTGTGATACCTGGCCATCATTTGGGACTGAGCAGCTGAAGGGGCAGGCTTGCTTTCTAATTACTGAGAGAGTTCAGCTGGTGTCTTGGCTTTCCATGCCTTTTTACACCTCCCTTTCTTCATGTGTTCAATACTTTTTCCCTGTGCCATTCCACATCATTACAAATAACTTAATTTCTGGACATTTATGATTTGATTTCTTTGTATGTATGGATCACTTGGGTTGTTACCYACATCTGGTGAAAATTTCATGTCATTAGCACCTCTAGTAATTAGGGCTGCCACGATTAATCGATTAATCGACGACTTATCGATTATTAAAATAATTGATGACTAATTTAATAATCGATTAATCGTTTTCTCTTTTTTTGTTGTTCTTTACTTTGTTTTTCTCTCCAAACTGCTTTGACACCTTCAACTGCCACATCTGCCATTCTTTCCTTGACACACATACACAGTAGTGGTAACTGGGGTAGGCCGTGGACGTCACAAGACATTATACAGACAGGCTCTGGTATCATGGCTACCCAGCAATGGAGCGAAAAAGTGTGGGAACTTTTTAAGAAAATGAAAGAGAAACCTGTGCAATATCTGCAGAGCAGAACTTACCTTCCACAGCAAGTTAGTTACAGCATATAGCTAAAATCTAACGATGGTTATATAATAGCAGCTGCATTCTGATGTGATAAGCTGTATGTTTTATATTCAATTAACGTTCAATCCGATTAGTCGACTAATCGAATAAATAATCAGTGATTAATGATTATTAAAATAATCGTTTGTGGCAGCCCTACTAGTAATATATTTACTGAGAAAAATGGTGACGTGTTCAATACTTATTTTACCCGCTATATATGGACAAACCATTTCGAATAAACCAAGCAGGAGGAGAAGTAAGCACAACTACTCCCAAGTGGCCATCTTGCAACATGGCACTTCGAAAGTGTTTCAGGTGTTCTTTGTCTGGTGGGATATTAGTAGGACCAATCATTTTGCTACATGTTGGAGTTTCCTACCTGACATGGCTGAGCTGACTGCATGTTTTTTTTCCCTGTAGAAACAACTTTCTCTCCACTTTGTCACGGCAGACCCGGCCTCTGTCAGTTGAGTCCAAAGAGAAGAGTGAGGAAGTCTGTGAGGGCTAGATTCTTGAGCTATGAGTGATCTGTTTGTTTTATTTCAGCAGGCATTTCTTCATTTTACAGTGGGAGAATGTCCTCCTTCAGCATGAGTTTTTCTAAGGTCGTGACAGCCAGATTAGTTTAGAATGATGTTTGGCCAGTGTGCATCACAGACGGGTCTTAGTGTCAGCATGACTGGTGATCAGATCTCTTTTTCTGGGACACACAGAGCAGCTTAAAATACAAAGAGATGTTTTAATGGAGATTCAGTTTTGCTGTCTAAAGGAACTACTGTTTCTCCAAGTCAAATACCGATTTGTATGAGAATGCATACAATGCCTAGATTATAAAAGTATTTTTTAAATACATTTTAATTTTCTAAAACAAATTGAGGCAATTAAACCAATATACATACCTTTATAAACTAATCCAGGTTATCCTTGGCTCTTATAAATGAGGAAGTGACTGAATAGCTTTCCACAAATGAGGGAAATGCTGGCTTTGTCTGCATAGATCAAATCTAACTTTGTCAGAAAACGTTGGCAATGGTTTTAGATCCCTCCCAGTTTTTTTCCCCCACCAGGAACCATAATTGCAGGCACAACAATAGCTAACTTTATCATCCTGCCTCTCTGTGTCCGGTGTCACTTGTCTTAAAAGGACCTTGTGATCACTAACTATGTGATAAAGTTCATAAAAAAGGAAAAAAAATCAACAATGAAAACAGTAATTTGCACCAATAAATTGGTTTTGTTAAAATTATTAATCATGACCCCTGAACACATCTAATAATCAATTATAATAACATATTTTCGAAATGGATATCAATAACTTATTCCWCTGATTATTTGGGAACACGTCCATCATTTCAGCTGAGTTCAAACTTTGATTTTTAACTCCTATAGACACAATTTTTGGTTGAATTTTTTATTGTCGGTCTATGGTCATTTGTGTGACGGCATCCCTGACAGCTGATTTTCACTTTCATTACCAAAAGAATCTACAACAAATGTGAGAAGTTTTCTGGAAAAATCCTGKAGAATGACTGCTGTTTCTCTGGCCGTGAATGTCTTTTTGTTCTTCTTCCTGTTCCCTCTTTTTTTAAGAGTCCAAAACTAATAATGAGTGTTCACACTAGCACTTTCTTTCATTGTGAGACTCATCTATCTATCTATCTATGTGTTTGAGACAAACATGATTCTGCTACGGCAAGAAACTGAACAGTGTGACTTGGTTTGTGTCAGAATTCTATAAAACAGGCTCACAGTGTGACATATAAAAGGTCTTTTGCAGTTTTTGATTGTACACAGTGAGAGGAGGATTTTACATTAAATCATTTTCCTGTACTTGCTGGAACCAAAGAAATTTTACATTATTAACTAACCTTTATATGTTTATCCTGATTTAATCACATAACCATGTGAGGATCTACTTCCATTAAAAAATACACCAAATATAAATAAATGCTAATGCAAAATTAAGATTTGTGTTGTTCAGGGCTGTTCCTTTGAACTTTTTAGGTTTATACACAACACATTCACCTCCTCCCTAATCAAATGATTTAAAGAAAAATGTATGCTAGTTTATTCTGTCTTTTTAACACATCTTTTGAAGGGATAATTTAGACTTTTTCTTAGTATCTGCCTTTGTTTTGGTTTTGCAATCATCTGACCTCTGTTTCTTTCTTTTTGCAGCCAAACCCTTCACCTCCAAAGTGAAGCAGATGCGCCTGCACAAGGAAGATTTTGAGATACTTAAAGTGATCGGGCGTGGTGCATTCGGAGAGGTAACACCATCTGCTCTCTGCACTCGATTTCGTTTTGCTGAAATCCAGACATCCTGGTTGTGAACATACACCAGTGTTTTCCACATAGGAACCGCTCTTCTGATGCTTAGACAGCTTTATTAATAGATTTCAGAGTGTATTTTACTAGGGTTCAACAAGTGATGCCAAATGTTACCTGCCTGGCATGAAAGGGTACCTGCCCGAAACAAAAATGTTCAAAATTTGAGAAAATATAGGAAAAACATATACTGCACTATGTACTACAAAAATATTAACATGGTACATAATATATGACATCTGATTAAGCAGATGCAAACATTGCAGACTGAGTCACTCACAAAATCAGTCAATAGTATAATAAAAACATCTTCAAATAAACTTTTTAGACCGTTCCAATGGTTCACCCTTTTGGCCATGGGAGGGCTGTTTATGAAAACAGAATGAGAAGATAAGTTTATTTTCTATTTAAACATAAAAACAGCATTTTAATAACAGCTAAAGGTGACATAGATACTTTTATTATCGTATAGTATTTAAATATCTACCTGAGAAACACATAATGTTGGCACTTTAAGTGATTAAGAACACACTGGGGGGACATGGTGGAGATAATTTTTTTGTTTGTCAAATGTCCGATGTGACAATGGGAGGGTTTTGATGAAATTTTTGACGACTTTTTAAACTTGTAAAATCATACTAATTATTTTTTGTTTTCACATAGGTTGCTAGAAATTATCAGTTATTATTTTTGGTTTATTTTTTGCTAGAAATAAATGATATCAAACAATCAAGTTGGAAGTGTGTTCAAGAAACAACCCACCTGTTGCCACACACTACCTTTTTTCATGGAATAATTTTGGTATTGGAGGTCAAAAGGCCATGACACACTACTGTATTATGTGCGATGTAACTTCTACAGCAGAAGGGGAAATTGTGAGGATTTATTCTCTGTATACATATTTTAAAATGCTATATTTCTTCATTTATTTTTAGAATATTTTGAGTAACTGGCCAAATGAAAAAAAATAAAAAGAATTGGTTAACCTGCCCGGTCGGGCAGGCATCGGGACACACCCACCATATGGGTTTTACCTACTCTGGACAGTCAGGCAATGGGATTTGTTGAACCCTGTATTTTACAATCTGTTTTAGTGTTTTCTATTTCCTGTTTTCTCTTGTTTTCCTAATATCAGATGGACAAAGGTTGCTGTCGTATCTGTCAACAAAAGGCACTTGATTTTTTGTTTTTTAAGCTCCTACACCAGAGTAAAATCTCTGCTTGCAAAAATGGATCATTTTATGATTCAACTATACAAAGACTATTTGGAACAGTGTAAAGTTATTGGTTCAGATGGTGTAGGTGTACAGCGATTGAGTGTATATGCAGGGGTAGACATAAAGAAATTTTTCAGACTGTCCAGCAGACAAGCATTTTGGTTGTCCTTTACAAAATTTGGCAAAAAATCTCAAGAAAAATGTAGTTTAATAAGTAAATTGTTCTGTAAACAAATTTTACTATTTATAAGTGTTCTCAGTCAGCCTGACGGTTTCAGGAGCTGCTTGAGTTGAACTTCCTCATCGTCTTCTTTGAAACAGAGATACTCASAGCAGGGGTCGACATAAGCATTAATTAGGTTGTCTGAGACGACCTATTTTTAATTTAAAAATATGTAAATTAAAGGAAAAAACATGTAAATTAAAATTCTCCTCCGTGATGGTTGACCATCATTTGTAAAAATGAAAGGACGAAAATAACTTCTTATAAGGCTGGACAGATTTTAAACTGACAGCTCTTTCAACCAATAGAGAGAACCGCTGTCAAAGTTTTACCCAATCAGAGCAGAGCAGAGCAGGTCGGGTCGTGCCGTCTGACTGACAGCAGGTGCGTGCAGCCACAAGTCTCCTCAAAGACTACATGTGCCACACACCAACAGTTTGTTTGTTGGACAAACTTTTGCTCTCCTATTTGCAACTCTTCATAAGTCATAAAGTATACTGCTGCATGTCCTTTTGGAGAATACTACAAAAATGTAAGCTCCAAGTATAAACACCTCCACCACTGGCGAGGGTGTGCGCGCACCCTGCGTGAGTACCTAAAGTGCGACTGAGCCTTCATGGCAGCTGAATGCTCCCAGGAATACCGTCTGTGTTTCCTTGACTTTTTTTCCACGGAGGATTACATATTTTAAATATATTATTTTTGAAAGCACCTTACAGTATTTCCACTGTAACAACTCAGTGATTTGCAAGGTCAGGTCAAGTTTGTTAATTCCAAAGGGAAATTAAATGTTGTTTGCAGTGGTGGGCACACGCCCACTAAATTAGCGGATTTGCCCACTAAAGCGCAAATCCGCTAATTGCGGACCTAAATATTTCATTTGCGCTTTAGTGGACTAACTATTACTAACTATTATAATTCATAAGCGTATTTGTGCTTTCTAAAATTAAAATGCAGTACCGCTAATAACTAATTATCATTCATCATTATCTTGAACAGCGGAAGGTAAGGCTGTCAATGAATCACAAAACACGTGATCTATCCAACAGCGCCCTTCCCAGATAAACACGCATTGGGAAGGTATACATCCTTGCGGACTGTTGCATTCMGCCACGGTTCTGATTTCCCACAATGCTTTGTGTCTGCTTACGTAGCAGGAAGGCAATAGCAAAAACAGTAAACATTTGTAATCCATACTAAAATTTTGTATATATTGATTTATTTTACTTTACAATCGGAGGTCCTTTTTAAAAAATAAAAAATAAAGTTTAAACGCTGGAGCTTAAAAGCATTTGGCCAACGATGTTAGAGAGTCAGAAATGATTTAAAAATGTTATGCTGGTGAAGACTAACATCTAGTGGTCAACTGAAGCAACTACATGGAAAACGTCCTAACCCAGGTAGAAAAACAGCAAAAAGAAAAAATAAGTAGGTCCTCTGAATGGGTTCTTCTTCGGTGAAACGTTTCGTCTCTCCTCCAAGAGACTTCAGTCTGGTGAGTTTCAGGTGAACTGGAAAGCTTTAATCCAATGGAAACATGAAAAACTTTAAAATCCAAGCTCTTATTTTGAAGGGAAGATARTAGTTTCCTGTTCCCCGTGCTTTTGTTTCCCGTCAGTCTGTCATGTACCCAGAATGCATCGCTTCAGTTTTCCAATAAACAGTTTTAAAATTACTTTATTGATGCTTCTTTAATGAAAAATCTACAACAAACAAAAGAAAAAGACAAAGAAGCAGCCAAACTAGCAATCCTCATCAGCCTTTTAAAGAAGCAGCCGAACTAGCAAGCCTCAACAACCTTTTAATTTTTACACCATGAGCCAAAATTCTGGTTCAGGAAATCAGATCCCCAGCAATCGACGGTTGTAGAATTAAGTTGTGCAATGGTTCATACACCGCTAGTTGGCAGTATTATGCATATTGTACATGAATTATCAGCTAGTAAGTGTCAAATTGAACTTGTGCTTTAAAATTAGCTTCCACTAATTTTTCTATGACAAGCGTTTTTGAAGTTGTGGACCTAAATATTTTCTTAAGAGCTTTAGAAATTGCGGAGAGAAATTTTGGATTAGCGCTGCCCACCACTGGTTGTTTGTCACTCATATTATCCTGGTTTCTTTAAAGATACTTAAGGTACTTTTTAAATACTGATGGCTGTGGGCAAGACGAATCTCCTGTAGCGGTTTGTCTTACAGCAGATCTGAAGAAGCCTTGACTTGACTGACTCTGTTGTAGTATGACAYTCTTAAGGAGGGTGCTCAGTGTTTTTCCATCGTGTGGTCAGAAAGCCTGGCAGTGAGYCGCTGGAGTCAGGGATATAATCCTGCACCCATGTCTCAGTGAAACACATAGTACTGCATTCCCGACACTCTGGCTGAGTTCTTGTTGGGCCTTGGAATTTGTCCAACTTGTTCCCCAACATTCTGACATTGCCCATCATGATCAGTGGAAGAGATGATTTGAACGTCCTCCTTTTTTCTCCCCTTTGCTCCTGCTCTGCATCCATGGRAACTCCTTTTCAACCCTTCTTGGATTCGGGGCTGTAGTTGAGGTACTATTTGAGCTTTTGAGATGTTAATCAGCTGCTCCCAATTATAACAGAACACCTTGTTTTTATGGTTATACATCATAACAAATGTCCAAAAGTAAAAAAAGATGTTGGCAGAAGTCCTTCCACCATCTACTAGCGGAGGGAATAATCATCCAAAAGAAGCAATTAAAAAAAAGAGGAATTACATACTTCATAAAAGAATATCTTCAAATGAATGTAAGAGAGCTACTCCAATATGCTGCCACCTTGAGCGGTACATTTCTAGAAGTCCATAACATCAGTGCCCTCATCATGCAGGAACTGCTGACACACTTCTACATGAGGCCTAGCATTGTCGTGCATAAGAGGGAACCCAGGGCTCACTGCATCAGCATTCGGTCTTACAATTAGTCTGAAGGCTGGTTTATACTTCTTGTCACACATCTTTTACCACCCGCTGAATGAAAAAAAGTTGACAGCTGTCCTATACATTGGTCCCAGTCAGCACACCGAGACGCAGAGGATGCGGCGCAAAGTGTGTGATTGGTTCAAAGTTTGTGGGCATTTTTGTGCTGTAACACCGCTACCTGCTACTCGCTACCAGAAGCCGGTTTTTGTTTCTAAACATGGATAGTTTTGAAGGGAAACTCACCGAGGCGGTCCTGAGGTACAACCATCTGTGTCCTCTACTGCGTCGGTGCGTGCTGAAGGTGAGGGGAGATCCAGTGGGCAAAAATAAATAAATAAATAAAATCCGTTGGGCAAGTTCCTCGAAACGAGCAGCGGACATTTGAAAATATGAGAAGTGTTTTTCGTCATCCATTTCCCGCATCTCTCGCAAAAGCTAAACTCGCAACTAGCAAGTTTTTTTTTTTTTTAGCAACTAGCTGTTATTTACATGCTAAGCTAGCGCGTGACATCTGCGGCGGGAGGGAAGAGGGAGGGATGTCTCCCCAACGTCTTTTCCCAGTATAAACACTGAATGCTGTTGGTGATTCACGCGCAATTATGTCATCGCTGGGCCGCAGCCGCACGTCTTGCATGAAGTATAAACAAACCTTGAGGCTCTCATCTTTTAAGGCATACTTTGTTAGAATGGAATATCATGTACACCACTGACAGTGTTTCATTCAAATAAAATTACACTGTACTACACAAAGTACTTACAATTAGTTGGAAACATTGTTTTGAAAATGATTTTAAAAATATGGTTCGAAAATACACATACAGTGGGGAAAATAAGTATTTAGTCAGTCACCAATTGTGGAAGTTCTCCCAATTTAAAAGACGAGAGAGGCCTGTAATTGACATC